AAATATAATGAGGGGTTGGCGGCTAGGGTTAACTTTCTCATAACTCTAGTTGACCTCCTACTCTTTTCTTCTTCTCCTTCCTTCTCTACTGCTGAAATCTTCACCTTCCCCCTCTTTCTCTCACAAGAAGCTTGACTGAATCAGCAAATAGTGATTTCTACTTAGTCCTCTATACAATGAGATGCTGTACATACATAACCTTTTAGGACCTCAAAAAAAGTCCACCCTCATAAAAGACGTGGAAAAAGCATCATCTTTGTGTATAGACAGCCAATTCCTATGTTCCTCAACTACCAAATTAATCACCCCTGATTTTGAAAATGATTTCTGCAAATTAATAACATCGATGTCTGTATTTTTTTTTTGGAAAAAGGTAAAGTAATTTTATTCATCAAAAAAAACATACAAGCTGGGATCTCAAAATAGCATCGATATGTCTGTATGGATCGTTGGATCTATTTGTCTAATAGATACTTTTTTCTGGATTAATGAAAATGTGCAAAAGCTCTATTTACCTCTACAATTCTACGAGTCTTTTTTAAGACTAGAATAAACATATTCAATGTTATGAAACCACTCAAAGCTCAAGCCTCAAACGTATTAGCAGAGACAGCAAAATGCCATCACTACAAAAGATTGGCAGTTCCAGGTTTGAAAAAAATTGCTTTATATAGCATTGAACACATCTACTTCAGATAGACTTGGGAACATGTGAATCTCATAATAATCCTACATGTATATCAGTTGCATGACTCATAATGTTTCTGCTTGACACAAGTAGTTTAGTTGTAGTGCCAGATGATGTGAATGTGAATGTATGTGTATAACAGTGATCAATGTTGACAATATGCAATTTCCAAAAGAAGTATCCTCACTGCATCTGCCACACATGGCTTTTGAATTCATAACTTTACCTGTTACTCTGGTAAGACTGATTTGTTTGTTAGGACCTTGTTTTTAAGGCTTACAATTAGAAAATCAACCTTCAAATAGAGATTGAAGCCGCCACTTCAAATCTTCAATGGTTTTATTAGAAAGCAAATAAATGTGCCAAAACAAGAAAAAAGAAACAAAAGGTTTCCAAAAAGGTAAGATGGAAGCTGACCTCTCAGGAGCAATTCTCCTCTTGGCAAGCATGAGTGTCAAGAAAAGAGGAACCATAGCAGCAAATAAATGCTTAAGAGTATGCCCACTGACAACATGAGAAGTCCATTTATAGATCGGTTTGTCTTCTGCTTCTTCTATTTTAGCCAAGAGATAAAATGCTGCAACAATGGGAATTAATACCATGATTAATCTGGTTCACTGTTAAAGACAGCACTTCCACACGACAAAATTTCATGGAAAATCCATGTTCCATGAACCACAAACCTGCAGCCCAAAGCCAATAAGCTGAATGCGTATACATTGGAGGCAATAAGATAGCCATTATAGGAATGACAATGCAGGGAACAAACTGGACAAGTGCATATGGACGGAGATCGTCAAAATACCTGCACCATAATAAAATAGCAAGATTTATGTGATGAAATCACTAGGTCCAGAAGGTAATCATCATTAAATGGAAAAGAATAAGATCTTGCATCCTTGCCTCCAATAGAAAATGCTTATTATACCCGTCAGAACAAGGGGAATGATAGACAATGTTCCCTTCTTGTCATCGATCCTTTCAATGATAAAGATTGATATAATTGATGTGAATGCAACGGTCATCTGCATTAGTTAGGAAAGTTTCAGTATGATATGTAAAAAACAGTCAACACATAAGAACATAAGAGAGTGCTATCAAAAAATATAATAACATAAGAGAGTGAATGGCTGCAAAGGCAGCAACCATTTGGACAACTTGAGAGAAAACAAATTCAAGGATCTTTGGGGAGCAGATAAGAAATAAAGAAGCTTAGATTGACTGCATAACAGCTAGGGTGGCAAACTGGATTAAATCATTGGGTGTTTCTTCTCCTTAATTGATATAATAATGAGAAAGTGGGGACTGGGGAGAAATGGCTGCAACCTCCTCTTAAAAGAAGGTGACTCAAAACATATGGACACTACCAGAAAGACTTCATAAAATTTAACTTTGATGGGAGTAGTTTTGGAAGCCTGGAACCTTCTGGTGTGGAGGAGTCTTTAGGGATAAAGAGGGTAGAATAAAAGCTATACTCTTGGGTCCTGTGGGGGAAAGGGATTTTACAAGGGAAAAACTATTGGCTGTTCTTCAAGGAATACAGCTGGCAAGGGGCTTAAATCTGAATATGATAATCATTGAATGGGACTCACAGGCGGTGGTTAGGTGGTTGAAGAATGAAAGAGAAAAACAGTGTGGACCTACAGAAACGAACTTAGGAAGAGCAAGTGGCTCACAAGGGACCTTCAGGTGAAGATTCAATGGGTACAAAAGTTGGAAAATGGCATGGCAGATGCACTAGTCAAACAAGAGGTAAATAGAGGTCAATGTTACTGAGATAATTTGTAAAGTGAGAATACTTTTTTGGGTAGGGGAGGATCTTCCACTCTTCCCAAGGCACATGAAATCAGTAGAAATTGCTTAAAGTTGTTTTTGATATGATCCTTGTGAAGAAAAAAAAAAGAAGTTGAAAGGTTTCCGCAAGAGAAAGGAAAAGAAGAAGTAGAAGAGAAAGGAAGAGAAGAAGAGAAAGGAGGATCTTCCACTCTTCCTAGTCGCCTAGCCTCGCCTTGGCACCTTGAAAACTATGGTTTGGAGAGAGCCTCACTGACACCCTTGGGTATAGACACGGAGTCGAGAGAAGAAAGGAAGGCTCGATAAGGAGAAAGTCCACTGTAGGAGAGATATTATGAGATACAATGAGCAGTACACTTTCTCTTACCTTTTCTGAGTGCAATAGGAAGGTCAAGGTCATCTGTAATGAGGTTAGTGGAATCAACAGGAACTAAAACATCAGAGGGAGCAAGGGGAATACATGAGTTAGTGTCATCCGAATCTGGAGTCTCCAAGGAGCCAATAGGAAGTGATGTGGGTTCTTCTGTTGTGGAATCAACCTCCCTGTGAAGTCGTAGGCGCTGTCATGAGAAGCACTAAGAAACAAGACACAAGGGAGGTGGTAAAGTAGGTGACATAGGAGGATTAAACACAGGAGGGTCAGACACAGGGGCTAGAATCGGAAGAGGAATAGACTACTCACTTCCTTCCCCAAAACACTCCCCCTGAGAAGAACCCCTCTAGAAGAAAGGTGTGGACTCAAAAAAGGTGACATCCATAGTAACATACCAACTCCCAGAGACTAGGTCATAGCAACAGTATCCTTTCTGATTTTCTGCATACCCAAGAAAAACGCACTTGTTTGCCTTTGGATCAAGCTTCGAGCGGTGAAGACCAAGAACATTAGCAAAGCAAACACAACCAAAAACCCTAAGAGGAATGTGGAACATCTCCCCCTCAGGAAAAAGAAGGCTAAATGGGGTGCTATATCCAAGAACATGAGAAGGCACCCTATTGATTAGAAAAACTGTTGTGAGAACTACATCACCCCAAAATCGAATTGGAACAGTAGATGTTATCATCATGCTCCTCGTAATCTCTACAATGTGTCTGTTCTTCCTTTCTGCTACACCATTTTACTGTGGAGTGTAAGAACAACTGCTCTGATGAATTACTCCATACTCTGATAGATATGAAGCAAGGTTCTTTTCAAAATATTCCTTGGCATTGTTTGACCTGAGCACTTTCACGCGTACCCCAAACTATGTTAGCACCATCTGATGAAACTGTCGAACTAGGAATGGCACCTCATCACGGGATCTCATCAAATAAATCCAACAATATCGAGGAAAATCATCCACAAATAAAAGAAAGTATCGATAGCCACCCATAGAAGGAACATGGTATGTATGGTCCCCACACATTAGTATGAATAACATCAAAAGCAGATGAACATCTTTTATTACTAGCATTAAAGGAATGCCTACAATGTTTTCCAAGTTGACAACCTTCACACTCTAAATTGGACAAATTGACAGACTCAAATAACTTTGGAAATAAGAAACACAAAGAAGGAAAAGACAAAGCCCCAACCGATTATGCCAAAGCATAATCTGACCCACAGACTCTAACTCAAAATCCCTGCTGACATGATGACTCTGATGATTGGGAAGCACATCCAAAAGGTAGATTCCATTCACCTCACGACCACTCCCGATCGTCCTCTTTGAAACCAGATCCTACAAAACACAATGGCCAGGAGAAAAAATCACTGAGCAATTCAAATTCTTAGTCAAACTACTAACAAATAACAAGTTAGTACTTAATTTGGGTACATGGAGGACAGAGGGTAGGGAAATGGAGTCAGTTATCTTGACAAACCCCTTCCCAGCAATGGGAACATGAGATCCATCAGCTATGGAAACTCTATCTCTGCCAGAGCAGAGTTGGCAAGAGGAGAAAATGGTGGAAATACAGGTCATATGCTCTGAGGCTCTAGAATCTATAATCCAAGGTCCCTCCTTACCTATAGTAGAAACATAATTTGCAATGGCATGTGAACCACCTATATGGGCAAAAGAAGTAGAATGTCCACCACCAGATCCACCTATACCTAGCTGTCCACCTAATAATGGATTAGGGCTGACTGTATCTCGCTGATTAAGTAACTGCCCATATCTCTCTAGTTCGGCCCTCACTGCAATAGACTCCAAAGTAGCTATAGTAGGAGGTCCAGGCAAGTCACCAGTTACTGCCATGTTCACATTTCCCTTCTTATTCTTGAATCTATTCGGCACAAGGTGAGGGTGAAGCTTCCAGTAGGTATCTCTCGTGTGCTTAGGCTTCTTATAGTAGTCATAGATCAGGTCCTTCTTATCTTCCTTCCTGATTTCATTTCCACCCCTGTCTCCACTCTATTTAGGTTTCACAGTACTAACCATCGCCGACTGCTCAAGACCCGGATTCTTCATCATCACATTCCTCCTACTCTCTTCTCCTAATATAAAGGCATATTCCACTTGGAGCTCTTTGTGATGTTAGTGTCTTTTTCTTTTTTCCTTTCTTGAAGCTCTTTGTGACTCTTGGAAGATAAGTGTGTTTGTCTTCCACTTGTAAATTTTCTACTGATGAATTAATGAAAGTGTTATTGATAAAAAAAAAATAATAATAAAGGCATATTCCTGAGAGAGAGTAGCACTATCTCTAGAAAGGATATGTTGCCTTGTGATGTCATACTTGAGGTTAAGTCCAGCAAGAAATTCAAAGACTATTCTTCTCTAAGAGCTTCTGATGGATTGTTGCACCCATGCTACTTTCCCAAACCACAGTCTCCAAATGGTCAATCTCCTGTCATAGGGTTTTAAGGGCCACAAAATAAACAACAATAGGTTTATCTCCCTGTCTAATAGCAAAAACCTAGTTTCTCAACTGGTAGGCCCTAGCAACATTCTCACTCTGTGAATAGGTTTCTGCAACCCATCCCAAATTTCCTTAGTTGTGTTAGCCAACAAAATGTTTTTACTTATATGGGGCACAACATAGAATTGCACAACCAAGTCGTTACCATATAATTCTCCTGTACCCATCGGGAGTAGTTAGTCTCGGGTTTCACTTCCTCACCAGTGATATACCCCAACTTCCCACGAGCACCAATAGCTATCTTGGCAGATTGTGACCATTTGTACCATCTAACTTAACTGTAGTGATGGTCCCAGCCTCGAAAAGGTCTTCGACACCTCCTCCCCATTGTCCCATCTCACTCCCCAATTTGTTTTCAGCTCCGTAACCCTCCATTATGCCCAAAAAAAGGTTAGAAAATCACTTTAAGATGAAAAAAATATGTAATAATCTCCTTAAGGCACCACAGAAACCCTTTTGATACCCTAGAAGCTCCTCCCACAAAAGATACCTTTTCTACGAGAGTTGGAGGAGAGAAGAAGCAGCTGCTCCCTCCAAAGGCCTCCAAAACAGATGGGACTTGAACTGCCCCCTTCAGAAAACTTCAAGAAACCCTAAAAACTAGGGCACCACTTCCTAGGTCAAAAATGAAGAGTCCTACAAAAACAAGACTCTCCCCCCTTTCTCCAATTCTTCCTGACTTTGGTGGAAAACCCTAGACCAGCTACGAGGCAATGCAGATCCACCAAAAAATCCAAAAATTGGGCTAACTTGAGGTCTTCGATCAGCCTCTCACCTCACCATGCAGTCGGCCGATCTAGGGCTGCATGATAGAGCAGCTAAAGTAACCTTCGGCCTGCTCTAATACCAAGTAGAAATTGCTGAAAGTTGTTTTTGATATGATCCTTGTGAAGAAAAAAAAAAGAAGTTGAAAGGTTTCAGCAAGAGAAAGGAAGAGAAAAAGTAAAAGAGAATGTACAATAATACCCTTAATAGGTCGGCAACTTGAAATAGTTGAACAGTCACAACTTAACATAAACTAATGGGCCTAAGGCCCAATAACTTCCTAACTGAATAAAGTAAAAAATAAAAAATAAAACAAAGTTGGGCCAAATAACTTAACATCGGCCCAAACTCAACAAAATCTATGTACATTTCTGTTGATATGTAATACAAATTTCTGCTACTTCTTAAATAATAATAATAAAACCAACACGGAGATATGAGTAAATAAAACAAAATACATGAAGAATCCCTTTTTTATAGGAAACAGTAAAATAATATTTCATGTCAACTAAAAAAGTTCCTAGTTATCTAGCAGGAGTTTAGTAGATCAAAGAAAACAGCAGAATCATCTACTGACCAAACCAGTCTTCTGTCATGCAGCCACGAATCGATGATCAGCAAGCTTTCCATCTTCATTGATGCCTATCACATGTTTTGAACTTTTGATTATCTGAATAGCTGCCTCCTAGCAAAGCAATTTGACCTTTGGAGGAGAGGGCCCTTTTCAAATGGCTTTGTCTAGCAAAGTTTGAGCTAAAAGGTTGAATTGCTAGAGGATATTGAAAAATGTGGTGCATGAAAAGTTTCCATTTGGATTAGGATACCAAATTCTTTTGTCAATACCATAAGGGCAAAAAAAAAGGCAAACTTTAGCTCTCCCAAAAGGTTTGTTTCTATGGACTCAGTCTAAAGCCAAAATCCCAAGATATTCCCAATAGAAAATTGTACCAATTAGAGATTGGTTTATTTAAGTAAAAAAGGAGTTAAGCTCAGTGATTTAGAAGGTGTGCCTCAGGTGTGCCTAGGCACACAGGCAAGGCGCATTTTAGGGTATGTGGCTCGCCTAGGTCCTAGCTACAACACTTTCAAAAGGCATGCCCCCAGTGTGCCTTGCGCTTCAGCCCAATCATGTGCTTTTTAAAAATTTGTGCGTTATAAAAACATTTTTATAGGGACTAAGAATTTAAGACCTTGATATGAGCTTGTTTGGGCTTGCCTCGAGGGGCTTGGTACAGGTACAAAGGTGGCTCGTAGAATCAAGAATGCACAATGTTTAACATCATTAGCTATTTGAAGTAATGTGATCGGGAAAAAAAATAAAGAGATTTAAGAGTTTACATGCTTGAATATGTTTTATATGCTATGCTTCATTTTATTTTTAAATTTTCATTTTAAATATGTTTTACATGTTATGTTTATGTATTTTAAATTGAGATTATAAACTTTTTAAAACATTTGTTTTAAAACTTATGTTTATATTTTTAATCAATATTGTGTTTAATATTTTTAATATTTTGCATTTTTTGGCTTTTTTTGAATTTTTTTACCTTTTTTTTTTTGCATTTTTGTGCCTTGCTTCAAAAAGGCATGTGCCTCACCTTGTACCTCATGCCTCAGGTGCAAAATGGCCCTTGCACTTTTAAAACACTGATTAAGTTATTTAGAAAGATCTTTTACCCCATCAAAGAACTTCTCAAAACTTTACCCTACACCCCGTGATGGGGCCATACCTAATGTGCTATGAGAACAAAGTCATTTTCCTGGAATGAGTTCTGCTTTTACTTTTAACCTCCCTATTCCCAGTCCCCTTTCCACTTTACTCCTACAAATTTCCTAGTCTGTAAGATGGTGTTTTTTCTGTTTTCCTGATTCTCATATGAAAATCTCTAATAATCTTCTTAGTTCTCTTCACCCACCTTCATGGGAACCTTAAAAATTGAAAACAAAGAAAGGATGGTTCTTGGAGAATTAACCTAAGATGTTAGAAACAATTAGCTAATAATGAATTTGAAAGTTCCACCATTCTCCTTGGTTCTATGGTTCTCCACACCAGATGGTGCACAAACAATTAGCTAATAATGAATTCATGGATACAGTTTTTTATCAATAACGAAAATATTTCATTAATTAGAAAGAAAGTACAATAGGGAGAGGTAAGCTCTCTTGATTAATAAATAAATTCCTCCATTCATCAAAAAAAAAAAAAAAACTACCTTTCATCATGAATTCTATCTAAGATGGTCTTCATGAATACATGTACTATATTGCAAAAAATAAAACCAAAACTTGCAGAACAGAAATGACTCAATATGTTTTGCAGGGAAGAAAAAAGAAAGAGAAATCACTATTCCATGAAAAAGGTAATCATCCTTCAATCTAAAAGAAAAAAGAAGAAAGAAACTTACTGGCAAGCGATCCCATACAAGCCGAGCATCATTTGGCTTGAGATGATAGTAGGCAGAACCAAATGCAACTGCTGTTACACCAATGAAAAAAATTGTCCAACCCCACAATTCCCCTTGTGTGCTATAAGCACAACAACAATTCATGAGCAATTCACAATCAGCCATCAAGAGAAATAAACAAACAAAAACAATAAATAGAAGACATCAATCATTGATAAACCTATAAATGTTACCTGAAATGAAAATAGTTTCGATGATAGCAAAGTATAAGCCCAACAATACCAACAACAAGAAAGGGGAAATTTGAAACCACATTCAATGTATTTGGTATCCCTGAAAAAATAATAACCTTGTAAGGTATGATATAACACACAGAAACATATTAAGGACAGTTTACCATGCTAATAAATGAATAAATGAAGCATCACGCAATTGCATTTTCAAGTTTCTCACAACACCAACTCAGAAATCATCTAACCACATACATAATATAACACAAGACACCCCAAATACCAGTAGAAACAAAAAATTAAAAAAAAAAAAAAAACTTTTTTATAACACCAAAGTTATAACTTCATCAGTAATGCCAGATAGTACAGTTAGGGTCTTTGCACAGATGCCCTATTTGTAAAAGAGCCCCAGTTCTACTGAATTCCTGGGACGGGGATGGGGGACAGGGTCTTTGTGTTCTGCAAATATACATCACACTGCTTTTATTAGTGTCAGTTCTGGATATAGAAAGGGGAAAATTCAATCCTTTGACATTAACATTACACAAGCATTTTACATTTTTTGAGAAAAAAGTGAAGTATATTATATTGATTGTATAATAGGGATACACCCAGTACAGGGAGTCACTGTACATGTGATGAGAATGCACAAAATATCAGATGATGTAATACAGAGAGTGGCTATACACAATCATTTACTCTTCTTGCAATCTACATCCTAATGGAAGGAAACAGATTTCTATAAGTACATTGTGTTAGGTGACCAAAACCAGTTGTGTCAAAAGATTTCTTGTGTAGTTATGTCTATAAGGGCCTTTTCATTTACATGGATGTTAACATGTCAAAATATTACTTGTTTCAGTTTTAGACAAGAATAAACTGAAGTTTTCAATGCCATCATGGTGTATCATGGCAAAGGACAAGTAGAAAAAAAAATCAGATAATAAAGAATAGACATTTGCAAAATATCAACGGGGAAAATAAAGACATAGATAAATACAACAAAACCTAGGAATCTGTACCAAAAAATCTTTTAATGAAAAGTCCAAAGTTTTGAGGAAAATGTATGAACGTTTCGAATGAAGATAAGGGCAGCCAACTGCATAAGGCTCCCACCAATGCAAGCTATGGGGAGGGACACATGTGCGCAGCCCTACCCCTGCACATACAGAGAGGCTATTTCCAAGATTTGAACCCTGGTTACCCAGGTCACAATGGAGCAACCCAGCTGTAGGCCCACCCTCATTTCAAATGAAGATCTAAACCATTAAAAGAAAATGAGAGGGATGAGGACTCTTCCTGTTAAAAGATTAACTAAAAGAGAGACTTTCTACATAACCAAAAAACTATCTTTTCAAAATTCAAACAAACTAAATAAATGCATCCGACATTTTTGAGACATAGCTTTCAAGCATCCCAACATGAGTAAAAAAAGCTGCTGCTCCATTTTTATACATTTAGCCCACCACTCCTATTCCATAGGCAGAATTGATAGGTAATTTCAATAGGTTATTAATAATAACATAAAAGGGGAAGGACCCAAAAACCCAGTATAAATAGCAATTACATAGTTAATTGGGAAAAAAACACTTAAAACATGTATATCAAAATGTGTCTACATGACAAAAGAAGAATAAAAAATTAATGAGCCCTATTGGTTCATTTTAGGAATTAGAGTTGAAAACAAAGAACTCCTTCAACACAGATGGCCACCAACCCAACCGTAGGCCCACCCTCATTTCAAATGAAGATCTAAACCAAAAATGAGAGGGATGAAGACTCTTCCTGTTAAAAGATTGATAAAAAGAGAGACTTTATACATAACCAAAAAACCAAGTATCTTTTCAAAAATAAAACAAACTAAATAAATGCATCCAACATTTTTGAGACATAGCTTTTAAGGATCCTAGCATGAGTAAAAATAGCTGCTGCTCCACTTTTATACATTTAGCCCACCACTCCTATTCCTTAGGCAGAATTGATAGGTAATTCCAATAGGTAAAGGCAACCTTATTAATAATAACATAAAAGGGGAAGGACCCAAAAGCCCAGTATAAATAGCAATTACATGGTTAATTGGGAAAAAAACACTTAAAACATGTATATCAAAATGTGTACATGACAAAAGAAGCATAAAAAATTAATGAGTCCATTGGTTCATTTTAGGAATTAGAGTTGAAAACAAAGAACTCCTTCAACATAGATGGCCACCAAATGTTTGTCTATCAATCACCCAAAGAACTACATCTGAGAATGAACTCTTGTCCTTATGCATCTTTTGTTTGGAATTGATTGTCTCTCTTTGGTTGCAGGTGAACCCCTCCGTCGGATGTGGTAGGCCTCTTTGATCCAAGTTTTATCGGATGTTCAAAGAAAAGGGGAAGAGTAATGTGGAAAGCCACAAGAGCAGCTATCCTCCAGAGAATTTGGGAAGGGAGGAACAATAGAATCTTTCAAGGGCTTGAAAGATCTAAGGAGAAAACCATTGACTCTGAAATGAATTGGCCTATTCAAAGACTATTCATTAGAGGACATTCTCAAAGGTTGGTTTATAGTGGAGAATTCAACATTAAAGATTGTGGTTCAAGATCAATGGACTCCTCCAGCACAACAAAGGGTGAAGTTTAATTTTGATGGAAGTTCCTTGGGCAATCCGAGCCCCTCCGGAGTTGGGGGAGCATTTAGAGATGGGGAGGGTAAACCGATTGTGTTGTATTCCAGACCATTAGATGTGGGAGATTCACTAAGATCTGAAATTATGTCCTTACTTCAAGGCTTGAGGCTAGCTAAACAGTCAGGCTTTCATAACCTTGAGGAGGAAGGAGAGTCAATGTTACTACTAGAATGATTGTGGACAGGAAGCATGGGGGTTTGGAAATGTAGACAGAAAATGAGGGAAATATTCTGCTATGGAAGGGAAGTTAGGGCTCTCTTTAAGTGGACAAAGAAATATGCAAATGGGTTAGCTGATGCTTTGGCAAAGCAAGGGACTTATAGGGAAGATCTTTTCTGAGCGGTGCTGTAGTTTCTGAGATAAATTTTGGGCCTTGTGGGGTCAACACTCTTGTAGTGAGTGGTTGACATTTGTACTTTTTATATTGCCCAGTATTACCATTCACAAATCCTCCAGATTTCCACTTGATTTGCTTCCTAAATCAATTTCAATAGAACAATAAAAAAGAATCTTCTGTCCTGCCAAGGTCCAAGAGCCATAAGATAAAATGAGTTAACCAATATAAGGAGTCTGGTTTCCATATTCTCAATTCCCTATTTATACACTGGTTCAGCTGCTTTTTGTAAGAAACTACAGTAGCTATTTCCTTATCATAGTATTTTTCCTTTAAGCCCTTCTAAAGAAGGAAGAGAAAATAGAACAAAAAAAAAATCAAATTTGGGGGCAGGCGTTTATCCTTAGCACATTGGTGCAAAAACTATGAGATTAGTTTAGAAACTCAATTTTCTGATAAATCCTCTTTGTTTCTATCTTATATCTTATAGTTTCGTTGCCTTGGTTTATTCTTCACAGAAAGGATATGCTACATGTGAAAGAGAAGAACAAGAGAGTTCTTCCGTCTAATGCAGCAGCTAATCCAGGTATTTACTTAGTGATCAGATTAAACATAAATCTTTATGATTACCAATCAGATTAGTTAGAGAAAAAGAACCCCTAATTACCATTCTTCTTGAGTAAATTTATGCAGTTCATGAAGTTGAGACAAGGCTTCCCTGAGCTCAGTGGTAGCATAAAGTCAACCAGTAGTCCTTAAAAATTCAAATTTCCGTCATCTCAATCACTATAAATTATTATTTCTCAATGTAGAAATTTCAGATAGAAAAATTTCAAGGTATTTCTAACTTCCCAAAACACAATTCATCTATTTCGATACCCAAATACACTACAAGAGTTAACAGAGATCAAACGAACTTGAACGACTTCACATAGCACAGAAAAGCCAAATCAAAATCTTCCTAGTGACCTTAGGATCAAGTGAAAAAAAAAAAAGAAACCAAATTCAATTCCCAAACCCATCACGAACAAACCTTCGGCTTGAAAATCCCAAATATAACACGCTACTATAAGAAAAACAAAGAAAACGTAGAGCGAGTTAAAGAATCAAGCATAATCAAGCATATACAATCCACAACAGAGTGAAGATGGAGGAAGTTAAAGAAAAATTGAAGTACCGAAGAAATCGCGTTGATCGGCGAAATCGTGATATTCTTCATTTTGGGGAATTGCTGGAGTTACGATCATCAGAACTACGAAACACACAATCGCAACCCCCCATACGTACAGAGTTCGCCTCTCCATTTCGTCGCACTAGACAACCAGGAGAGAGAGAGAGAGAGAGAGAGATGTCTAAAACTGAAAGAAACCGAGAGAGAACGGAGAAGGTTGAAATTCCTTTTACGACGGGTTCTTATGACAGTGGCTCGGCTCAGCCGGTTGGACAATCAGAGATGCAAGAAGACTTTCGCTCAACTTGTCTCAGCTGACTGCAGACGATGAATTAAAACCAAAACGTCCACGCGGCGTTCAACGGCGAAGATCCACTTATAGTCGGCGTGAGCCCATTTTAAGTGGATTCGGATTCGGTCCTCACAACATCGAATTCAGATTGCATCCATGAACAAAAAAACATACAAGTACGAAGATATTCTTAATGCACGGCTGTAAAAACTGTTAAACGGTGTGAGGGAAATTTTGTGACTTGTGAGGGCGAAATCCGGTCTCATTAATGTGGTGACGGGATCTGCTCCTCATAAATGGGCCATCCACCGTGCAGGAAGATCTCCCGTGAGGCGCTATGTGTGAGGAGCAGATATGGTCTCCGTAATGTAATGTAATGATGTAGCAGTGAGCCGGAGAATGATCACCGCGTAACTGTGGGACGAATATTCTCATAAATTTTGTCTGATACCTATTATGTTTATGTATGTGATGAATTTAGATTTTATTTTTTATGCATAGTTTTATTATCTAATTTAAGAGATTAAGTCATGTTTTATTTCTAAACAATCCACTTTATGGATTTTATATTACTTGAAATGTGTGTTTTTATTTACTTCTAGTGGAGTTAATTAGCATTAACTTTCTATTTTAAAGTAGAGATAATTACTCTTTTGTTATTGCTAAAAAAAAACTCTTTTTGATACTTTTCTTGAAAAAAAAAGTAGAGAATGACCCTCATAATTAATTATACCTATGAATCATTTTGGTTTTTGGTCCTTTTTTTGTTTCTTTTAATAATATTATTTTAATTGAGACTCGCAATTTTTTCTTGTAATTATATATAACTAAAATTTTTATTTAATTTTAATAATTAAATCAGATTTAATTTGTAATTTAAGAGTATTGCTAATGATTCTTAGTTGAATTAGAAAACTGATTACAATGATTAATATGGACCCTACATATTTTGGAATGGAAACTTTTTATGAATAGACATGTGCTTTTTCTAAGAGTGATTAATTGTTCATAGTCTTTTTGAAAGTGGGTAGATACATGTCTAAGAAAGAAATATAAATTAAAGGAATTCCCTCTTACTAGAAAGGTTTTCATTTAGGGGTGCTCACAATCGTCGATTTATTTTCCAAACTAAATTGATAGTATTGGCTTTTGGAAACCCAATAACCGATACTGATGGATTAGTCGGTTAATTGGTTCATTTGTCAAATTTTCAGCTTTTTTATTTTCATAATATTATATATAATAAATATAAAATATTGTATTATAAATAATAAATAATATATTATAAGTTAGAAATGCATATATTTATAATATAGAATTCATATATATTCATTTATAATATAAAGATAATATAAAATATATATATGTGAAAAATATAAATAATATACATAAATATATAATATATATAAATATATGGATACCAGTCAGTTCGGTTAACCATTAATTTTTCATATTGATTAACCAAAACTGAATCGATACCTTCAATTTTTCAAAAAACTAAACCAATCGGTTTAATAAATCAAAATTTTTGGTTCGGTCTCATAGGTTTGGTTTTTCGTGATCATATCACCCCTACTATAGACATGGTATTCTAATTTTTCAAGCAACAATATGATTCTAAGAAGTGGGTACTTTTTACTCTCAAATAAAAGCTTTATTTCTCAAACATGTGTCTATCCACTCCTAGTAAAAAGTGAAAGTAGTCAACTCCATTTTCATAAATAAAAATTGTTTACCTAAAATACACAACAACCCATAAAAAAAGTATCAATTCCAAATTAACTTTAGACCTTATAAAAGAAGTACCCATTCTAAATAATATGGGGCTTGTATTAATATTTGTATTTCAGATAAAAGAATCACTACAAAAACATTTAAAATTACATATTAAACATGGTTTTATAATTTAAACTAAATAAGAAATTCAAAGTAGATATAGTTGTCAAGTAAATAGTGAAACTCAAATAAAATGGCATTATTACAAAAGATAAAAACAAAATAATACATAAATGTAGTTGCCTTGTACTTAGTGCGAGGGTCATTCTTTCAAGAAAGAGTATTTAAAGGGTGGTTATTTCTACACTTAAATAGAAGCATTGTTTTTTAAACATGTGTATAAGTATACCCACTCTACGAAAAAAAAAGTACGAGCTTCATATGGTGGTTACTTCAACTCTCAATAAGGTTAATGGTAGTTACCTCCACTAAAAAGAAAAAACCCTCATTCAAATGATGTATGATCCATAAGGTGGGTTATTGTTTAGAAATAAAACTTGTTTAAGTCTTTTAAATTAAATAACAAATTTATATGACAAAAAATATTAGATAAAAAATAAACTCACAACATAAATAATGGGTGTGAAGTAAAGTAAAAATTATTATAATACAAGCCTATAATACAGCTGATATATATTAAAGAAAAGCCCTCAAACTAATTAGGTTTTCAGTAAATAGCATCTTATAGGTAGATATTTTTCAAGTAGAAGCTTTCTTCCTTAGGCATGTGTCTACTCATTCTCAATATAGTGACAGTAGTTAACTCCACTCTCGAAAAAATTGATAATTTTAGATACGTGGCTATTTATAAAAAAAAGTTTCCACTCCAAAGTATGTGAGGTCTATATTAATCTTCTTAATTTAATTTTGGAATTCAAATAAAAGTCATTATGAAGAATTTTAAATTACAAATTGAACATGATTTGATCATTTGAATTAAATACAATTACCAAATAAATAGTGAATCTTAAATAAAAGTGTATTATTACGTAAAATGATGTCATTCTCTATTATACATATACTAGAGAACGACCACCTTGAATTAAGTATGCGGACAATATTCTGTTAAATTTTGTTTGACACCCATTATTTATGTTGTAAATTTAGGTTATTTTTTATTTGATATTTTTTATATCTAAATTTGTTATTTAATTTAAAAAATTAAATTAGGTTTTATTTATAAACAACCAACTTTATGGATTCTATAAACGAGTTTGTTTATTTTTAATGGAGGTAATTACTACAAACCTTTTTGAGAATGGAGGTAATTACCATTTAAAGCTCAATCTTTTTTTTTTTTTTTTGCATGTGATTGGGTAAACACATGTCTCAAAAAGAATATTTCTATTTTTTTATATAAAAAGAATGCAATATGATGCTACTTGCTTGAAGGAGAGTCCCTCTAATGCAAAGCCTTTTAATATATATTATACTAGCAAGGCTTGTGATGTATGGAATTTGTTAAATTTAATTAAAATAGAAGAAACCCTATATCCAAGGTCATTGGTAGTAACAAAAGGCCTTCCATTCAATGGGAGACACCTATTCAATTATGAGAGTGTAATTCCCTTCGTGTGAAAATATTAACGCAGCTCTGTCTTGCTTTTTTTTTTTCCTTTTTCTTACTTTAAAATTTTAATTAATAAATTCAAAATAATACAACCTGCTTTACTTTTTCTCTTACATAATTGCCCATGGTTTTTCAATTTGCCAAAGAAAACTATCACCTTCCTCTCTCTCTCTCTCATCTATCTTCTGCACTTTGTTTCCTAAGTGACCGTGGTACTTAAGAAAAATGAAAGATTTGAAAGTAAAGAAAGTGTGTAACATCTATAGAGAATTGGTGAGGGGTAATTTGGCATGACGTAGTAAGTAAAGGTTATGTGAACGCGATCTGCTCGTAGAATGACAATTTAGCAAGGGGAGCTTAGTCAGCAGTTTACAGAGTTCGGATGTTTGGTCACCTCGGTATAATGCCACCCTGCATAAAGTTATCTCGGTATAAGGCCAACTGGGCATAGAGTGACCTCAGCGCCTAATCAAGTTCGGAGCCCAAGAACCAAAGTGACATGTAATCGATTCCAGAAGCTTCCCAGCAAACTCCGAATATTACAGGATCACACCGCGTAACGGCCTGCCTTATCCTCTCCCCGCCCAGACCGAGCAACAACGATAAGCTTCATTGACTGATATGTTACTCCCTGACTAAAGCGGAAATGGATTTCATCCATTCAAGCCGTAGATCCCGAAAACCGTTTCGGGAGATCCATGATAGCTCAACTATATAAGGGCATCAATCCCTCTAGGGTCCAGGTACACGCGATTACTTACACTCAAGCTCTCTAGCACCCAGACTCTAGCTCGCAACCATACTGACTTAAGCATCGGAGCGACCTCCCTGGGTCATCCACCCCGGTCACTCTGATCTCTATTTTGCAGTTTGATCCAGCTCACCACACGAGTACGTCTAGGCAACCCTCTAGCTAGGAGCTCTAGGTCGCGCATCATCAATTGGCACCATCTGTGGAAAACGATCAAAAGGTCATCCCAATTCTGTTTACAGTCTCAGACTCAGTTTCAACCTCAATGGCATCTTCCAGCCACAACGAAAAGAGTAACATGAACATTACAAGGGGGAAAGAGCAGCAGATAATCGCTTCCCAAGGACCCTTGGTGACAATTGGTCTGTGCCACACACTACCCAATAGGTGAGTGTCCCACTCCCCCAGGTGAACGCCACGATCTCGGAGCCTTCCGTGATTCCCCTGGGATCGGGCACTCATAGTTCAACGACCTCATCCAGAGCATTCGAACAATGCAAATCCAAATGCAACAGATCCATCAGTTCCATCAGTTCTAGCAGTTCTAGTAGTATTATTTTTATCAACAATATCAGCAACAGTTCCCACCACTGCAACCAAGCCAACCGGGAAACAATCAGCACTAGGCTCACCAGAATGCCCTTCAGTCTCCCCCTCCCTTCAGTCTCCCCCCCTAGGGAGAGAACTTTGCAGGTACCGGTCCCTCCCTTAGGATGGACCTCGTCGTAGGGTGCAGTAGGCGACCGACATACTCCCCCTACTTCCTGAAGAGAGAGCTCGAGGGATAGGCTCGAACCTAGCCATCCCGAGAGGCGCAGTCAATAGGTTTCCCATGTAGAGCATCGGCTCGAGGCCCGAGGCACCGGCTCCAAAGGAGACCCCTCGGTTCCGCGCAACAGCCAGCATCAAGCGTGCGACGAAGAGGAAGTGGCGAGGAGAATCTC